TAATTCTTTCCATATATCCGCATGTGTATTACATAAGAATAACAAGGGTGCCATAGTCACAACATACGCCCGTTTACGAAAGCTTTAGATGGAGATGGGGGCATTATGGATAAGTGTTATCTAGCAAGCAAGTTTTTATTCTTGGCACTGTGTTGTTAAATGAACTTTAAAACAAATCAGTAGGGAAGATATGCACAGGATGTGTGACTTGACCTTGGTCCCAGGGACCTGAATTTTATGCACGGCACTCAGCCTCACAATGATGAACATTTGTGCCAAATTATATTGAAATCCCTCTATGCATGTTAGAAGTTTTGCTCCAGACAAGCGTTTTTCTATGAGCTCTAACTGTGACCTTCACCTTTGACCTAGAGACTTGGTTCATGTGCAGGGCACTACGTCTCATGGTGGTGAACAATCTATAAAGTAACATTAAAATTCCTCCATGCATGTAGAAAAATATGCTCCGGACAAATCTGGATATTCAATCATCTCCAGTGACCCTTGACCTTGCAAATATTAAACCTAAATTAAATGTGTCACACATGTAGTCATGATAGTTACCATTTGTGCTACAATCCATCAATAAATGATGACTAAATGGTCCCTATACACATCTTCAAAAATTTTATCTGAACTTTGACCTCTATGTGTAACCTTGACTTCGGTCGCAGAGATCTGAATTTTGCGTGGGACACTCAGCCTCACAATGGTGAACATTTGTGCCAAGTTATATTGAAATCCCCCTATGAATGTAGAAGTTTTTGCTTCGGACAAGCGTTTTTCAATGAGCTCTAAGTATGACCTTGACCTTTGACCTGGAGACCTGGCAATACATATCATGGTGGTGAACATTTCCATAAAGTATTATAAAAATTCTTCCATACATGGTAGGAGATATGCTCCAGACAAAATCTGGATATTTCACCATCTTTAGTGACCTTGACCTTGCATATATTGACATAAAGTACATGTGTCACAGCCGTAGTCATGATAATGACCATTTGTGTTACAATCCCTCAATAAATGATGATTAAAATCGTCCCTATACACATCTTCATATTTTTATCTGAACTTTGACCTCTATGTGTGACCTTGACCTTGGCTGCAGGGACCTGAATTTTGTGCGCGACACTCCGCCTCACACAATGGTGAACATTTGTGCTATGCTATATTGAAATCCCTCTATGCATGAACAAGTTTTGCTCAGGACAAGCGTTTTTCAATGATCTCTGTGACCCTGAACCTTTGACCTAGAGACCTTGTTCATGTCCGTGACATGGCTTCTCATAATGTTGAACATTTTCTATGAAATTTCATTAAAATCCATCCATGCGTGTAGGAGATATGCTCCGGACAAATCTGGATATTTCATCATCTTTAGTGACCTTGACTTTGTATATATTGACCTAAATTATATGTATCACAGCCATAGTCTTGATAATGACCATTTGTGTTACAATCCCTCAATAAATGATGACTAAATGGTCCATATACACATCTTCATATTTTTATCTGAACTTTGACCTCTATGTGTGACCTTGACTTTGGCCGCAAGGACCTGAATCTTGCGCGCGACACTCCGCCTCACAATGGTGAACATTTGTGCCAAGTAATATTGAAATCCCTCTATACATGGTGGAAGTTTTGCTCCGGACAAGCATTTTTCAATGAGCTCTAAGTGTGACATTGACCTTTGACCTAGAGACCTTGTTCATGTGCGCGACACTGCTCCTCATAGTGGTGAACATTTCTATGAAGTTTCATTAAAATCCCTCCATACATGTAGGAGATATGCTCCGGACAAAATTGGACGCCGCCCGCCCATCCGCCCGCCCGCCAGGGGCGTTCCCATAATACGTCCCGTTTTTTCAAACGGGCGTATAAAAAGAAAAAGATGTACATATATATGGTCATTTAATGCACAAATCAGTGAAAATTCAATAATTTAACCTTCAAGGTCAAGATCATAAAAGAGCCAAGGTCAATTTGAGTTTGATAAACATAAAAGTCTTGTCACTAAGAATGTTCTGTTATAATATGAAGTCAATCCATTCAATAATAGCAAAGTTACAGCCAGTTACAGCCAAAAAAAACAATTTCAATAATTTGACCTTCAAAGTCAAGCTCATTTAAGAGTGACGGTCAAGGTCTTTCTGGTTATTTTAAAGGGCTTTCCTTGAAGATTATTAAGTTCAAGTTTGAAGACAATCCATTCAAAAATAAAGTTACAGCTAATAATAGCCAAAAAAATGAAAATTTCAATAATTTGACCTTCAAAGTCAAGGTCATTTATGAGTGAAAATCAAGGTCTGTTTAGTTATTTTAAAGGGCTATCCTTGAAGATTATTATGTTCAAGTTTAAAGACAATCCAATCAAAAATAACAAAGTTACAGCTAATAATAGCCCTCCAAAAAATGAAAATTTCAATAATTTGACCTTCAAAGTCAAGGTCATTTATGAGTAAAGGTCAATGTCTGTCTGGTTATTTTAAAGGGCTCACCTTGAAGATTATTATGTTCAAGTTTAAAGACAATCCATTCAAAAATAACAAAGTTACAGCCAATAATAGCAAGAACAAGCAAAAATTTGGACTTCTGACCTTGAAGGTCCAAGGTCATTTATGGATGAAGGTCAAGGTTAGTGTGGTCTACTGAAAGGTCTTGTCCCAAGGGTTGTTTGTGGCCACGTATATGAAGACAATACACCAAGAACTAAAAAAAGTTATGATCCAGGTACACAGTTTGCAGACGGCAACACCGCAAGGACTATAACAATACCTCTACTCTTCTTTAAAAAGTCGAGCTAAAAATAGCAATATTTGCTGATTGGTACATGCGGCAGAAGTTTAAAATTGTAAACTTTTACTATGTCAAGGACCTTAACTTTAAGTTGGAGTAAAATATACCAATTTCTCGAAAAATATCTAAGTTCAAGGGGGACATAATTCTGGAAATAGTCTTGCTAGAGTATTGAACCTTCTCCCAAATGATTTGAGTGATAATAAGAAACATATATATGAAGTCTTGTAAGAAGATACAATGATGAAATAAAGAAGTTATTAAAAAACATTTTTTTTTTTCTATGTAAGTTCAAGGGCGGCAATTCTGATAATTTTTGTGCTAGAGTTAAAACCTTGTCACATATGATGTTATTGATGACCAGAAGCACATGTTTGAAATAAATACCTTAAGAAATAAAAAACTTATATAGTCTAAAAACTAGAATCAGAAATCTTGTCGAGGTTGCTGACGTTTGTTAAGTATGACAGCTCTCAATATAATCCCTATAGTCAAGATTAAAATTTGTGTATAATTCCATTCTACCATCTATCCATATTTTAAGTTTCATAAAAAATTTCAGCTGTTTTTGACTAAACACAAATATTATTATATTTGCCATGTTTTAAGCCTATTTGTTGCCATGGCAACCAATTGTTTTTCAAAATAGGTGAAAAGAAAAAGACATGCATAATCTCCATACTGCCATCTACCCATATTTTAAGTTTCATAAAAATATTTTCAGTACTTTTTGCATTATCACTAGATCCAGTTTATGTGTTAAATTTGCCATATTTTCAGTCTATTTGTTGCCATAGCAACCAGAATTTTCAATATAGGAAGAAAAGAAAAAGACGTGCATAATCTCCATACTGCCATCTATCCATATATGAAGTTTCATAAAAATATTTTCAGTACTTTTTGCGTTATCGCGGGATCCAGTTTTGTGGTCGGACGGACAGACGGAAGGTCCCCTCCAGTAAACCAGAGGGGACTTATAAATAAATAAAGCAAAAAGCGAAACTCCAGGTGCACAACTACACTTGCTGATCAACATTCCTGTAAAGTTTTATGACTACAGGTCAAATACTTTATAGTTTATGGCATCATGACTAACAATACCTCTAATTTTTATGCTACAAATTAAATATGCACAAAATTATGCATGTGAAGCTGTGCACATGGTGGTTTGCTTGTATATTTATTCAGAATTTCTAGAGAAATTTGCCCTTGAATTAGTAAAAAACGTCCAAAATAGTTTGTCATGTGTACCTCCCCCTAAAAGTGCTTGAGCTAGAATCAACAAACTTTACTTGAATGTTGATCAACATGTGAAGCTGTAGACCTGTTTTTGTGTGCAGATATTTTCATTTTTGTTAGAGTTATTGCCCATTTCTTAGTATAATTTTGCAATTTTCAACTTGTTCGTACATAGCTAAAAGTATTTGACCAGGAATCCTGAAAGTTTACAAGAATGTTAGTCAGCATGTGTAGTAAGCACCTAGGGGTTTGTTTGTGGATTTATTCAGTATTTGTTGAGTTTTTGCCCTTGACTTAGTAAAAGATTTGTAATGTGTCATGTATAACCCAAAAAATATTTGACCTAGAGTCAGTAGGTTGACAAAACAGTGGAGTGTGGGGGCATCTGTGTTCTACTGAAACACTTCTAGTTTTACTAATTTCTCATAATTATTTGGAAGGATAATACCTCAAGTGGTTTTTAAAGTTTGAGTGGAGTTTCTCGTTACTGGGTTCAAGGTCACTGTCTTGTGTTTATATTATTGTATTTGATAAACTTTTATTGGTCAGTTGAAGATATTCAGCTTCACCAACTAACAATGACTTTCCCAACGAACATTTTTCACAAAAAGAGAAGGTCATGACTCTGTGAAGTTATAAAACTGTGCTAGAAATTTTTGACAATTTTTCTTTCCATAACTGAGTGAATGGGTAAATCTTCTTTGAAAATTTGTTACTGACAAGAATCTGGGCCCGGGGCATTTGTGTTAACCAAACACATACTTGTTTTTTTAAATTATATGTTACCCTCTTTTGCTTTTGATGTGCACAATTGCTTATTTGTACAAGCTGAAGACAAATATGTGACAGTGTAAAAAAGGAAATATGTGAAAATGCAAAAATGCAACCAATATACATGTAGTGTGTGGAATATAATGACATCTAGGCATACAGTCACACTCTTTACTTCAGATTGCTCTTCTGATGGCAACTGTAAGGCCTTGGTGCCGCTTGCTGAAAAATGAAAAAAACAAAAGGGATATTTAAGAAGCAGCTCATATTCTTTCTTGGCACTGTTAATTTTTTCTTGTCCTCCTACATCATTGATTATAAATACTTTTAGATTAAAAACCAATTAAGCCAGTGCTGTTTGAATGTCAAGGTCATTTAAAGGTCGAGGTCATATCTAACTCATTCCACAAATCTCTGTGGTGACATTTTATTGTTGTTTTGACCACATATGAATCAATCCATACATAAATAACAAAATTATGACAACTTAAACAAATTTCATTACTCTGACCTTGAGGTCAAGGTCATTTAAAGCTCAGGTTCAAGGTCAGTTCAACCTTTGAATAGATTTTGTCCAAAAATGTTGTTTTGTCCAAGTATAACAATAATCCATTGATTAACTACTAAGTTACAGCCAATTATAGCGGTAATCATTGCAATAAAATAATTTGACTTCCAAGTTCAAGGTCATACATGAGTCAAGATCAATTTGACCATCAAGGTCTAGGACATTCATGAGTGAAGGTCAAGGTCTGTCTGATAAACTTTAAGGTCTATCCTTAATTATTATTATGTAAAAGTTTGAAGACAATCAATTAGAAAATAACATAACTATAGCCACTAACAGCAAAAAAAACAAGCAAAAATTAGATATTTGAACTTGAAGGTCAAGGTAATTTATGAATGAAAGTCAAGGTTATCTGGTCTACTTGAAGGTCTTGTCCAAAGAGTTGTTGTGGCCAAGTATGAAGACAATACAAGAACTTAACAAGAGCACCGCTAGGCGGAGCATTTTATGCCCGAAAGTGTTTTTTTTAGTAAGGATGAAGCACATTTTTTTAGTGCATATACTTCATGTACTCAATATACATGATCATCCTATGAAGTTTAACAGTTGTAAAAGTGTTATCAATATTAAGGTCATTTGACATTGACCTTTGATCTTGTGACCCCAATATAGATATGGATCTTTATTCAATATAGGCAATCATCCGATGAAGTTTGAACACTGTAAGCCAAATGGCACTTGTGTTATGCTCCAGAAAGCACAATTTTCTGTGTAAAGATCATTGTGTCACTGACCTTTGACCTTATGACCCTAAAATCAATAGGGGTCATGTACTGGACATGGCTGTTCATCCTATAAAATCTTACAGTTGTAGGTAGATTAATACTTAAGTGATTGAGCAGAAACTGTTTCTGTTTTAAGGTAATAATGATTTTGACCTTTGACTTTGTGACCCCAAAATTAATAGGGGTTTTCAAGTTAATATTGACAATCATCCTATGAAGTTTGAACACTGTGGGCCAATTGGAACTTATGTTATGCTCCAGAAATCACAATTTTCAGTGTAAAGATCATTGTGACCCTGACCTTCGACCTTATGACCCTAAATCAAAAGGGGTCATGTTTTGGAGTTGGCTGATCATCCTAGAAAATTTTACAGCTGTAGGTTGATTAATACTTAAGTTTTTGAGTGGAAACTGTTTTCAATTTTAAGGTTATAGTGACCTTGACCTTTGACCTTGTGATTCCAAAATCAATAGGAGTATTTTACCCAATACTGACAATCATCCTATGAAGTTTGAATATCGTGGGCCAAATGGAACTTAAGTTATGCTCCAGAAACTGTTTTCAGTTTTAAGGTAATTGTCACAAAGTGAAAGTACGTTTGTAAAATCGTGCATTATATTTTCACGCCGAACCTCATTTTTACTCTATATTCATTGATGTGAGATTGCATCATCTTTTGTTTAATTTAGAGTTTTCGGGTGAAATTATTATTTTTATGGTTTGCATAAATTTCCATGTCTCAATTTAAACATCGTGCCGTTTATTTCACAAAAATCCTTTCAGTAATAAGAAAGTTACATTTTTGTTTTATGAACCAGATATATGTATTATGTCTGTATTTGAAGGACGGGCCTTTATTTTACATAACTATTCTCCCGCCGTCCCAGCTTTATTTCGTGCAAATCGATTTTTCATGTTTTGCACAATCCGTTTTCCCGCTCAGTACTCAGTAGTTTGCTATATAATGACTAAATTTTAAGTGATATATTGCAATGCACTGGACGTTATACAGGTCACTATATGACGGTGACAGACAAATTATATTTGTCATAAAATTACAGCTTGTACAAGCTTCTTATTTGAGGACACACCCGAAGATGACACGGGCCCTCCACACGTATGTCCATGGCTAAAGGGTGACGCATGCCCTTGTTCAGGATCCTATCAACTGTGCCAACACTGTAGGAAGTACAGTTACGCTTGATAAGATTTTATACAAGACGCCCGCCATTGTGACGAATTTTGTTCAACAACGCCACCACTTTATTGAAACATCATGACAGAAACTTTACGGGAGAAATAGACTGAGATACGTTGATAGTGTTTGTTTGCGCAGTGACTTTTCATATATAATCATTTTTCATTTATAAATATTCATTTCTTGTAAATAAATTTGTATATATTTTCTGTTCTGAGTTGTTGGTTGTTTTAGATAGCAATTGTGGTCGGCCTGGTATCCCATCGTAGTCCCTATTGTGACATTTGGTGACCTCGACGTGATTGGATACCGGTTGACTAGAGTTGTTATTTGAAACAAACCACACTCATTTTACTGCAGCTAGGTTTTATAGCTAACACTAGAAACTTTGGTTTTATTTTAAGTAAAAAGTTTTATTTACAATTAAAAGTTAAATTTAATTTACTTAAAGGTAGTTGAATTTTGTATCACTTTTAATTATTTTTTTTTATATTTAGTGTGATTATAATTTCTTAACAGTTTCAGATTGATACCGTGACAAATGAAACGGACTTGTGTGTGTGACAGCTATCCAGCTGAGAGGTTATAACAGCCACACAGACCCGACAGTGGACGTTTAGGGTGAGTTCATTCCATTTTCCTCCTTTTAGGTGTCACTTTATGATGAGACCACCAGTTTTGTAATCTGAAAGTGACCTTTCGGTAAAACACCGGAAGTACACATATACACACATACACTCTGCAATTTAAGGTACTACCCGCCTTGTGTACGTTTTTTTAGATAAAGAAACTGTGTCTGTTATCTAGGTGAACATTTAATTTATTGTGTCATTTACAATTTTACTTTGTGTTTACTTTGTGGCTGTAGTATATTGAAACTGGCCATATACCTTTTATATTTTTGCACTGTGGGGTAAAAGTGCTACGCGACATTGAGTTTGGGTCGTAGTTTGGACTTTGAAGTTTAAAGTATTTTGAACAGTTTTAATTATTGCCTACTGTCTACTGTACACTTAAGATTATTATTATACAACCTTAGTGAGATACTTAGATGAGTTTGAAACTTAGTGTTTGTAGTGGTGAGGTATAGTGTTTAGAATATATGATACATTGTTTATTTTAGTACTGTGTACAGTGAAGGTACATTTTAATTATAGCGCTAGAGTGATGAATGCGTTTAATTATATGGTGTTACACTGAAGTGTAGTAATATAGTGCACCGTGATTGCACTTAGTGAATATAGCGTTTTGTGTTTAAGGGTTGTAGTGTTACCCTTTAATGATACTTTGATATCATTGTTCTACCTCACGGTAAGATTTTACTTGTATCCTAAGTTGTTGTTGTAGTAGTGTTACAGTGTAGGAAATATACATAATAAGTTCAAGATGACTAGTGTAAATGAGTTGATGAAGGTAGGTCAGGAGTTAGGGTATACAGATGAGGCTTTGAGAAACTTTGTTAAAGAGGAGCAAGCAAGGGAGCGTGAAGAAAGACATAGTAGGTTAGAAGCTGAGAAGGAACGTTTTGAAGCTGAGAAGGAACGTTTAGAAGCTGAGAAGGATAGGTTAGAATTAGAAGCTAGGTTAGCAAAAGAGAAGTTAAGTAATGAGAAAGAGAAGTTAGATTATGTTCGTCAGTTAGAAAGAGAGAAGGAAGAAGCCGAAACTAGGAAGTTAGAAATAGAGATAGAAATGGAAAAAGAGAAGTTAAGTAATGAGGCTAGGGTTGCAAAGGAGAAGTTAGATTATGCTCGTCAGTTAGAAAGAGAGAAGGAGGAAGCAGAAATTAGGAAGTTAGATACAGAACATAAGATGAAGATAGAGTTAGATATGTTAGGTAAGAAGAGTGTAGGTAAGGTTAAGATTAAGATGACTCCATTTGACGAAAAGATTGATTCTATGGATGCGTATTTGAATGTTTATGAAACTTATGCGTCTGCTCAGAATTGGGAACATGAAATGTGGTCACTAAACTTACCGTTTCTGTTAAAAGGTACTGCTAGGGAGGTATTTGATAGGCTTCCATTAGAAAATAGGACAGATAATGATAAGCTGAAAGATGCTTTGTTAAGGCAGTTTGAGTTGACTGATGATGGGTATAAGAAGAAGTTTAGGACTGAAAGGCCCCGTGAAAATGAGACTTTTGTTATGTTCCTAGCTAGAATTTCTAGATACTTAGATGGTTGGCTAAGATTGAGTAAGGTGGAGAAAACTTATGAAAAGTTGTTAGACTTCATAGTAAGGGATCAATTTTTAGATATCTGCAATAGAGAACTATATCAGAACCTTAGTAGTAAGAAGTTGTTTTCAGCCCGTGAAGTAGCGGAAGATGAAGATTTGTTTGTCAAGACTAGAGGAGGTCCGAAGTATGTAGTGAATCATGGAATTAAAGAAAGAGCTAAGCCTTATGCACTGCCGAGTAGACCTGTAGATAGAAATCAAGGTAGTAGTTATCCTATGCAAAGAGGTAACGATAGACTGGTAAATAGAGGTAGAGCATCTCAGCAGTATGAAGGTTATAAATGCACATATTGTGGTCGTTTAGGGCATACAGCATTTTTCTGTAGAAATAAGGCTACAAATAAAGCTAACGCAGCGGAAGACATAGAACCGAACTCAATGAAAAATCCAAGTAAGAATGATAATAGTTATCAGGGTAATAGAAGGCGAGGAGGTTATAGAGGTAGGAGTAGAGGAAGAAATAGAGATGCAGATTCGAAAATTTCGATG